AGATGATCATTCGTAATAAATTCTTTACAGTGATTTAAAAGTTTATTGGCGTCAAAAAGTTAAATCGATTATCAATTTAAACATATTGATTTTACTCCGTTCCAACGAAAAATTGCAAAAATTGTGCTTCAAATAAATAATCGGGCAGTTTGAGTGGAAAAAGTATAAAAATTTACACAAAAAAATATATATAGTATTAAGCTACAAAAATCTAGCTCGATGGAAGATATTTCTATTTACTTATGAGAATCACTTATCGGTCAAGGTTTCACTTATTAATTAAATGTTCGTTCCACAAGAAGCGCCCTGCGACGCGCCTCTGTATATACGAGTCTGTCGAGGACGACCACGTGGTTGGTGACACGCTCGCGCAGGCGCATAGAAAATTCCGCCGAAAACATTTGTCCCGCCACTTTTTTTCTACTTGACATAACCGCCGCCGAATGACGATGGTGACACGTAATAACAAAGGTGAAGGCTGCAACGCGGCAGCCAATCACCGTGCGGTCTTTCGATCACCTGATTTTTTTCCCATTGGCGCGCGAGAGTTCACAAGCGTGAACTCCACTACTCTCAAATGCATTGTAAATATAATATGTATGTATGTGACACATCAGTGTCATAAATTCCCTTCCCCCTTCCCCCAGGGGGTTGATTGTGTATCATCTTGAAATAAAATTACAAAAAATAAACAGATTCACGACAAATGAAATCGTATAAAGTAGATTAATAAATTTCCTTACTTTTATAATTTTCACCTTGTTTTAACCCTCAGTTACCTTACGTTTTTACACCCCGATATTACCTCACCAGGGTCTGAGAGACTCCTGCCGTTTTCTCTAGCTTGTATCTTTAAGACAAATGCATCAATTTGAAGTCTTTTTTTTTTTAATCGATGCGTCTTTTAAAGATCTACAAGACTGTGCAAGTTAGATTATTCCAAGTTAAAAAATGTAAATGTTATTTAAAAAAAAAGTAAGACGTGTTTTTCTGAAAAAGCGAAAAAGATTGCTTTTTTTCAAGTTGACGTAGTACTGACTAAAAAAAGATACAAGGGTTTTATGAACGTTTTAAAGACCCTGCACGTTTTAACAATGTGCAGGGTCTCTCAGACCCAGGTGAGGTAACTGAGGGTTAAAGTACACAACCGATTTCCTGAAAATAGCCGCGTCCAAATCCTATTTTGTTATTCTTTCTATTCTTTATATTTCCACTTTTTTTTTTAAATTATACAACGAAATCTATTGCATATACGCGCAACTTTTCAAACTGCTAATTAAACATAAAAAAATTATATTCGAAATTTTTTTCGATGTATCGAAAACTCGTTTTATTTGAAATCGAATTCAAGTCCGATCGTAATAAAGGAAAGAGATGAACGTGATTCGCTGTTCCACCGCCAGAGGTGTCACGCCAACGATGCCGACGAGCACGATCGATGGATGGCGCCACGATGAGAATTTCGCATTCGCAGTCGCCTGCGCGAACGTGAAGCGAGAGATCGAGCGAAAATCACAAGCGTCAGGCTCTGTCAAAGCGATGTCGGAGGTTCTGTAACGCTCTCGCACGATCGCGCGGCGATTGCACGAAGCACGGACAAGGGGATCCGCGAGAGATTCGGGTCGACCTGGAAAAAAAGAAACAAAGGAAAAAGGGGGGACTCGCGATCGTGACTCACTTCCGCCTACGTCTACGTCACCGTCGTTGGCGAAAACGAGGTGGTGCGCGTTCCGATCCCGATCCTCGCTGCGCGACGAAAAACCCTGTGACTCGCCGGGCACCGCCTGGATCCGTGCGTGACGTCGTCGCCGCCGCCCGTCATTCCCCGTCGCCGCCGTGCCCGTTCCCGGGAAGGAGCATCCGACGATGGTGAGTATCCGCGGGGAGCGTCGTCCGTTTTTTTTTTTGCGCGCGCGATGCAGAAGCTTGTGTGTTGTCGAGTCGTACGACGAGCATGCGTCTAAACGAGTTCGCTACGTGCGTATGTTCGCAGGCGTCTTACTCCGAGGATCAGCTGGCCGGTAAGTGGAGGGCGACAGGCGACTGTGTAACGGCGGCGGGACCGAGAGAGGCTCGCGCGATTGCGAACGAACGAACGAGCGAGTGAGGGAGCGAGGCGGCCTGATGGTCCACGGCCGCGCCGCGCTCGTCTCCTCGGGCTTTTAATTCAGGTCAAGATTATCCTCGCCTTTTTAGACGCACCCCCGGCCCCGACGCGCGAGCGCGCGCGCGCACCTATCGAGGACTGCCTTTTATGGTTCGGTATTTGAAAGCAAGCCAGACAGCCGCTGCCCGCGGGCGTTTGTGGAGAATTTAATCGCGTTCTCGTCTTCCCCGCCGAGACTTGCCGATTATTCTTGTTTTACTCTCTCGCGAGTCATGTGCATTGTTGACGCGAGGCGCGCTTAGGAATTGACGGATGTAAGACGGTCCCGGTGTTCTGGCGTTGTTCGTGTTGCTACAGCAGAGCCGCTAAGTGCTATAGAGTCTCGTTTCTCTCCATACAAAAGTGCCAAGATGTACGGCTTTGGCTATCAGGAGCTGGCTAATAGAATGATGTCATCTATGGATGGTAAACAGTCCTATGGTTGGGTGGCACCCTGCAGTAGAGCCATTTAATTATAACGTATTCTAACGAAGAATTGCAAACTCTTTATTCTACTTATATTTTTCCTTAAACTTACGGCATTCATTATTTGTTCTCTCTCTGTCCTTGAGTCTACGTTTATGTGTAAGACACGAATCAAGCGCTTGAAAGTGATTAAAAGCAAGCGTGCTGCTGTAGAATTCCAGGAGGCGTTTCAGTTGTTTGACAGCCGCGGGGACGGCAAGATCCACGTGTCCCAAATCGGTGACGCGTTACGCGCCCTCGGTCAAAATCCTACCGAGTCGGACGTGAAGAAGTTCACTCATCAGCACAAACCGGACGAGCGTATCAGCTTCGAGGTATTTTTGCCAATCTACCAGGCGATCAGCAAGTCCCGTACCTCCGACACGGCGGATGACTTTATCGAGGGCCTACGTCACTTCGACAAGGATGGAAACGGTTTCATATCTTCCGCGGAGTTGCGACACCTTCTGACGACGCTCGGTAAACATTATAAACGTCTTAATTTCCTGGAGAGAACGTGCATTGCGCAGAATTTTCATTGTGCGTATCGTTACAGGCGAGAAGCTCAGCGACGAGGAAGTGGAAACGTTACTGGCGGGTCACGAAGATTCACAGGGTAATATCAACTACGAAGATTTTGTCCGCCAGGTTATGTGCGGCTAAATCCAGCTACTTAATCGCACATAAGAGAGTATTTATCGTTTACTTTGCCATTTATCCATCGAATCTGTTGAAGCGTTTTATTTTTGAAGTATCATATCATAGCATGTGTACCTATATGGCGATTTATCTCGAGGGAACCCCTAATGTGAACACTATTTTATTACGTACCACGGGAAGAAGGTTAGTCCCTTTTATATAAGAGTCTAAATTAGTTAAACAATGGTAGGTAAAGAACAATCTAGCGCATTGTGCCTTGACGTATACTCCGATTTACGAGCATTTAGTGATATCGATAGTAGGACATATGCCTATTGTGCGATCATTCAGCGAGACATTCTGAATTCCGCGGACATTCCAAATTCTTGTAAGATAGACTTTGAGAAACCGACGTCTCCGGCCTTTGAGGGCGAGGGCCGAGCATTTCGATTTACGCCAATACACTTAATGGGCCACGTACTTTTATCCCTCTCCCTCTCCCATCGAGTTCAATACATCTTCTGTGTAGTTAAAATGTATGTTCGGGAATCTTCCACATCTACTGTTACATGCCCTAGAAAAAGTGCGCGGAGAGTATCCACTTTATTTATTTAAGCATGAGCGTATTTATGTCTCCGAAATGCGCAAGAAAAGATTATTGTACATTGCGATTAATAAAAAGAAAAAATTGCTCGAAGAATTCGTCGTGAAACTTCAACAGTGTCTTTTGTAAGTAAAGCAGGAGCACAGTTCGTACAGTTGTGATCGTCGGACGTAATTGTGTTATCAGCTGTAAGAGATTCTAGGTTTTCTATCGTAGACTACGTCACAACGGCTTATAAGTTAATCATTATATCTCTCTTATATAAAGTTAATTGTTATTTCCCTTACGTGTAAAGAGAAAATTTACATATCTTACATAAAAGGAAAAGTTATTGTTTAGCGTTGAAATTTATTTAGTTTTTTAACCATAAAATCTGGATTACAGTCTTGATTTGAATTCTGAAATTTATTGTTATATGTTTCTGATATTGTACTTGAATGAACTGTGGGCTGTTGGATAGCTTTATTAATTTTTTATGTTAAAGACAATTGAATAACGCTGTGCAAGAGTTTTGTGACTGATCCCAGCGGATACCTTACAAAATATTTGAATGTAATTTAATAACTACCGTATACTAACCAATCCAAAATTTTTCTTTTCATTATAACAATCATTTAAATATGAATCTACTTTGATACTCTGAACATCTGAATCAATCTTTGCTGTACAATATATATCTGTACCTTAAAAGTAAAGGATCTCTATTATTAATTCAGAGAAAATTAAGTTTAAAGTTTTAAATAGGGAAATAATAAATTTTTTTTATATAAAATAAAAATAGCAACTTGGTTTATTATGTTTTTAATAGTAACTTAATTTGCATATTTTATAGTAGGTACAACTATCAATAACATGCTGTATCTGGTTTAAAAATTAAACACTAAAAATTTTCAATACTTTTTCTAAACATTGTAGGTATCTTAGGAACTAATAATAATTGACATAAGACGCTTTACCATTATAATTTAAGCTCCTGTTATATTGAAAAATGTGCCAACTCCATTTTGACAAAAACTGAAAATACGATTCTTCACCTCTAAGCTAAGGTATATACATGTATTTAAAAGTTGTAGTTTAAGTACCAAAAAAAATTCATCTAAAATGATCATTATGATAAAAAAAAGAAAATTTTGGAGTCAAATAGTATACGGTAGTTGTCAAACCGGTTATAAATCGTTGTGTAAACATAGTCATAGATGCCTCAGCTTGCTCAGTTTAGGTGAGTACTTCGAAATAGACGTCGATTTGATGATCAAGTCCAGGTCAAAGAGTTGATTTTCCGAACTTTCCGCGGTTCTGGGTTCGAAGTATAGCGCGCGTGTGCGCGCACGTGGGAGTTTATCGCGCGTTTTGATTCGCAGGGCCAGCTGGCCCGGTGGTCACGTGGCCAGATAGCCACAGCGCTTCGTACGCCATCATGGTGAAGTCGACCGCGACTCCCACCACTTCCAGCAGTGTCGCTTCGGACGTTGTCGAGCGAGGGTCGCTGCAGTCTTTTGTGCACTCTGGGTGTGTTATCGAAAGCCGCCGCAATCAGTTCCCGTCGTCGCCGATCGCTACTCCAGCGAACATTTCGTGTTGGAGCAGTGCACTTAAAGCCGCCAAAATTTTACGAAGAAAGAAGTATGAGTATTAACTCCAGTCTGTCGTTAAGTGAAAGTAGTAAAAAGCCGACAATGCCGAGTTTAATTTCCAGTAATTGGTGAGTATGAGCGGAGTACACGTAACTGCGCCATTTTTGCCCTCGCCTTCCCTGCGAGTCGCCATCTTGCACGTCGCGTCCTGATCCCGTGTTTTTCTTTTCCTCTTATTTTTTTTTCAACCCTCCGTTTTTCCGTCGGTCTCCCTTTTTCCTCGCCTCTCGCCTCCCGTTCGTAAACCGTGTCCCGATCCTGTGTCACGTAACCGTTGTCGCTGTTGTCGTTCTCTTCGCCAGGCGGATCGAAATACGAGACTGCTTTATCGCCTATCTGCCAGGGGCACGTATTGTCGGCCACTCGATCGTGCGTCGTCGAATCGCTGGAAAGAATGCGACCGAATGAGACCCGAGTCAACGGGCACCTGTCGCGCAGAGACGTTCTTCGGAGAATCGGTATCTCCACGCGAGCGTACGGCGCGAGGTCGATTCCGTCAATCCCGTCGCGGCCACGTGACGGACTCGTTAAAAATCCGTTCCGCGTATTACGGTATTGCCTACTTGTTAGCGGGATCAGTGACGTTGCCTCCGTCAGCTGTTCCGTTAGGCGATCGGCCTGGGGCCGTGAGTTTTTTAACGGCGCGACGTGAAAACCGCCTTCCCCGAGACGGATCCTTTTTCAAACCGGACACGTTGTGTTCGACGGAAAAATATTTGCGATCGCGCTGAGAGGAGAATGACGGGGTTATCGATGTCACGTGATGTCAATATCATAAAGGATGACTTATCGGTTTGCGATAGTCGCAAATACAAAACTCTTGGAATATAATAAATAATAATAATAGAAATATATTTGTCGTTTTTAGCTGAACTTCTCGCACCGCTCGACTTCCCTCCTTTTTTTATCTCTCTCTCTCTCTCTCCGCGTTGGAGTAAACGGCGCGAGAAGTTCAGCTAAAAAAGGAACAGACCTATGGGTTCTCGAAATTAGACGACCGTTCACGTCATACTCCGCTCGCGACCTTCAACTCGCCGACCGACCTCGTACAAAACCAGGACATACGTAGGAGAAGGATCCGGGATTGAATCCGGGACTCTGGGATTACGCAGATAAAAAGAAATGCCAAATAATTTATATACTCGTGTACAAGCAACAATCTATAATGTTATATTAATTTTAATTTTGATTTTAACTTTTTTTTCTTAGTTGGACTGTATAAAACTTCGTCTAACTATATAAATGAATTTTTTTTTCTTTTAACGCAATATAATCTCATTTCAAGATTATAAATTGTTGCGTATATACAAATATATGTAAGTGTTGATTTGACACTCCTTTTGTTCTGTGTAAGGACGGTGTTCATAGTCCGTTCTCGTATCTAAGATCTTATTAGGTACGATAGATCGCTATACGATTATTGGCTGGAATCTTAAGATTGTTTAAGATTAGATTTAACGACGATCTTAAATTCGACTTTAAGATCGGAGTATGAACACCGATCTGTGAGTCGACCACTCTCGTGAGGAAACCAGGCGTTGTCTACGATATCTTTTATTGATCTAGGATATCAATTTGAGATATCGCTTCGGAATGCCGTCTCATTGTCGTAACAGATTTTTAGAAATAATGTGTTCACCTCTCGAAAATGCTTATCTAAATGAAAGCGCTTGCGACGCGCAGTGTTCAGTCGCCTAAAACTCACAGCCACGGAACTTTCTACATTTCGAATGCGTGGGACGACCTGGCGGATATAGCTCCTGATTAAATCTAACGTGAAAACGGCCGGTCGTAACCGGCTAGAAACGTAGGAGCTCTTCCCCCCGCCCTGAGAATGTTCCTCGCGATTAATTTTACGTGATCTCGTTTCTATCCTCGATGTCGGACGGCATTTAATCAGCCCCGAAATCACGTAGCCAAGTTTTCTGTGCGAGATACGCATCTTCTGAAGTGTTGAAATTCGTAAACAAAGATTACGGTTACTTCGCACCGTCGCCTTACTTTATCTAATCAGCTGTCCAATTAGCTACCTAATCAGCTATCTAAGGCTCTTTTTTTTTTCAAGAGAAATGAATGAGTATGTCGATGCAAAACACATGATTCGCACGTGTTTAGATTTGCAGCCTCATTATTTACGATCTCCGCAACACGGTTTCTTATATCACGTTTATGACGCTGTTAATTGAAATTTATTGCGGTTGACGAATGGTACACGGTATATATAATAATTCGACTGTAAACCGGGAATGCTTTTAGACCATATGTACTTGTCACCATCTGTCCTTTGTTACAGCAGGACTCGCATATGGAGCTCTGTCGCAATAATTAGCAACAACAATCAGGCGTGACGTAACGATTTTTTCGAGCGCTCTGCGCGGAGAAACAGATGTACGCGCGTTCGCAGTTGCATCCCGGGCCTTGAATTTTTTCAGCTGCTCTATTCGCGCTTCCAACGAGAGCGAGCGTCGTTCCGTATGTGGAGCAGAGATCGATTACACGATTATTTCCGTATAAAGTGCAGGAGGTACCTTGAAAATTTCGAAAGAAAGCTGTAAGAACGTCCACACAATCGTTGTAAAAAAAAAAAAAGAAATTGTTTCGAATTATTTTGAGATCAGAGAAATCTGTTATCGTTATATAAGGAAAATGAACGAGGTTGGTCAATATCTGTGATTCACTCTCTAAGCAGTTTACGATCGTGTTCACTTTGCGTGAAACGGGCAATGCGCCGTTAGAGCAGCGACATTGGCTTTGTGCTTTCTTTTACAGCGTCAGGTTGCCTCGTGCCGCCGAGCCAATCGATATGCGACCAGCAATGCCGCTTTATCTCACGGTTACATCTTTCGCGAACGAAACGTGAATTCTGCCAGCTGGGAGAGCAGTGGAAATCTATTGACGATTGTCCTAAATCCAGCGATAGCGATTGAAACGAATAAAGAGAGGAACTCGCGCGGAATCGTTTTGCTCGATCATATTTCTCGAAGGCGATAATAACGCGTACGTGACTCTCGCCATGAAATTATAAACCCGTCGTATCGCGGTGATATTGCGGACAATGGATAAAATTCTGTCTCGTAGTAGTTTTCTATTTTTTGCCGTGAACGAATTACTATATATATCTTGTATCAGTTTGCGCATTCGTGATCCTTATAATTTCGATAATTTTCAAAGAAATAAATTATTCAATTTTAATTTTTTGAAATGAAAATAAGATGAATGAGTGAAGTAAATAAATCGAGAAATATTCGGCTATATTATTCTCATTTATTTTTTCGCTCTCTTATTGATATAAATTATTAAAAGCAATTAAAAATTTTGAGGATTTTTTCGTGATATTATTCGTTACATTTTGCGTTTTTAAGATCCCTAATCGTATTATACAAAGTACTGTGACCTATTTTTAGCTGTATTATCAACCGTTCTGTGTGATAAGATAAACATTTACTTACCGATAATTGAACATTATCTTACTAACTCGTAATTAAAGGACGAGTCATTTCTCGCTTGTGCAATAATACGTATGTGTCGAGCAATGTGAACTTTGAAATATTCGCATCTACATTCTTGTTTTTTTTTGCCTTTGGTGATTACTTTCGATGTTAACTTTAGTGACTAATTCTCGGACGAATCTTCAATTCCAAGTCCATTTTTTGAAGTCAATCAGCTTGCAGCAATGTGTCAATAAACACGAATGCAAGCATTTTCAGGTAACGTCGCAAGGTTTCTTCGCTCGTTCGACGTTATCCACTTTAAGACGAGTCGCTATACGCTAAACGGCTAATTGCGAGTGGTAATATCATCGCGTCGAAAACACTTTGTCCCCGTGGAAGAATACAATTGGATGACACGCAAGAGGCCTGTACATCTCTCTAATTAAATTTGCCAATCGGTTCCGAGAAGCTTCCAGAACGGTTAATAAAACGCGAAGCGGAGACACGTGCTGGAACGCGCAAGGTCGTCGCTGCGCGGAGTGTCGCGGAGCACGAAGGCGAATTATTCTAGAATTATTCCGGTCTCACAATCGGTTGTCTTTCTTTCTGCGGCGAGCTTCTTCTTTCTGCGAAATACAAACGTATATCTCCCTTTTTCCAATTAGATATCGAAGAAACCGAACCAATCATGCGCGTCTCTTATTACATTCTGACATATCGCAACGAATGATGAGGTATTATCGCGCTATACGAAACGTTTAAACGTAAATAGATGACCTATTGTCACGTTCTGCGTATCGATAACATTTGAACTTGGAATCCGCTCCTAATCATATCCCCGATTTCCGCTAGAGACTCTCATCCAGTATACGTTCGATACCAATTATAATCGAAGGCTCTATGAAATTTATCGTTGCGTCATTTTTAGATCGGAGTTCATGCAGGATATCGTATAGAACACACTCGATTCTCGTTGTTTAGAATTCTACAGCCAATTATATAACGCGGATAAATACGTAATGAAATCCCCGTTCGTTAGTTAAATGCGCGTGCTATTGATGATAATTGACAATGAGAGTGATTGTCAATAAGAATGTAATCAGTCATCAATATTGATCTTCATAATCGCAGTTTGAACCATATCACGCGATTAAAATCAGTATTTCAAATATTAAGATAAGAAAAATATTTTAAATATTGATAGCGTTTCGAAATATATTATCTCTTTCCCTCCGTTCTGATAATTTATCACGAATTATCGTTATTCAAAGTATAAGATATGATATTGATCACATAAATATTTTTACGCCATTGCTCGAGGCGACGTGATAACGTGTAACGACTGTGAGATATAAACCCTCATCAATATTATTACTTTTATATATGGATTACTTGCCTTGCTTGTTACTACACGCGCATAAGCGTAGCAGCAAATTATTTATAAATTGCGCGTCAAACAATTTAAGCTTATTTACAAAGTGTTGCAGGTACAGATTTACACGCAGGTACATATTTACGCTTTACGTCAGCTCAATATTTCCTAATGTCAAGGCGAGGTAAAATTGTAAAATATTTAGCGCCGAGGAGAGCGTTGTCCGGCCAAAAGCGTTGTAAATCTAGAAGCAGACCAACCGGTTATACACATTTCTCTTCGCGAAACATGCGTTATTTGTTTGGCGGGACGCCCGTTTAAATGACGTCGATACGCGGCCGACAATACGCCTGGTAACGCGTACACCTTATAAATCGCATACGTCGGTTGTCTGGTGCGGCAGTCGCTCATTTTCCCTTTAACCGTGGATTCCGCTCTGGTTTTCCCCGAACGGCTTGACCGCGATCGGACGCGGATCGGACAAAACGTCGTATCATCAGCGAAAACTTTCCTACCGTTCATTACTATATATCTCGCTGAACCTTCTCCGCTGAAATGCCAAGGTAGACATATCTTATCTGTGACTATTTTTTTTATACGCACATTGTCGAGACAATCTACCGGAAATGGTTATCATTGATATTCGCTGATGATGACAGCTACTTCAGTTGTGTACTTCGATCACTTGTTATTAATAAACATTTAGTAAGATCGAATGCCGTGATTCGCGGTATATCTGAGCATCGATAAGCCGATTAAACCTTGCCCTGGAGGGGAGTTAAATGTATCCTGAACTTACATAAGCGTTCCATCAAGAATCTCAAAATTCTTGGCAGTACCCACTGTGTTTATGATTCAAATACGTCAGCCGCTCTTTAAAGAAAACAACGCCTTATTTCGAACGTTCATACATTCGCTGAAGAAACAAATATTTATGTATCGATAGTTTAATAATTTATTATCATCCTTTTTTCCCCCTTTATCGCAATCCTTAATCATGCTTGCACACATCCTTGCATATCAATAAAATAATCATAAGTAAATAACATTGTTATTTATTAAAAGAATGAGTCTCTTTAAATGTTCATGTATTATCGATATAAGATTTATGATTTGCTCGTAATAATTAAAATGTACATTGCAGTGAAATGTCTAGTAAATGCATGGACGAGAGCCTAGAGGAAGGCTCCAGGCTGCAACAGCACTACTGTATAACGCTGGGCGTGGGGCCTCTGTGGTGGTCCTGATGTGCCCCATGCCGCATTGTCTGTATCCACAGTCAACACAGAGAGCCGCGGCGTGGGGATCAAGCAGAGTCAGCTCTCTGTGAGCTCCCACATTGTGCAAGTACGTATTTTCCACGCTTAAAATGGATCCTCAGAAATCAGAAACTATAACTTACTTACGACCGCGAATACGAAATAACGTGTGCTCTCCGGATGGACTAGAGCCAAATTCTAATTATCCACATTTTCGTTTGTCACGACGTATAGGAGGATGAATTGTTGAAAGCTGTGAGAAGCAACGAACCATTGCGTCTAACGTTCACTCTCCACTTGACCGAGAGTACGTCCGTCGAGTGGGAAACCGTAGCATGGCGCCGCTGTCTATACATTCGCGTACCAAGCTGCCTTCTGCCCGAAGGATCAAAAGAGGGGTTTGTCTCGCTCCTAGAATACGCCGAGGAAACACTGCGCTGCACCAATATCATTGTTTGCCTTCGCAAAGATAGATCAGATCGAGGTACTTGTCGCTTGCCGTTCTTCGGCACGAATGTCGAAGACTTTTGCGTCGAAGACGAGAAAGACTCACCGTCTAAATCGTTCTGTTGTTATGGTCTAGCAATGCTGGTTCGTACCTTCATGTTCTTGGGCTTCACGGTCCTGCCGCCAACTCATGCCTTGGTACCGCCAGGCAGTGACGCTGGCAATCTCTACATGCTCTATGCCATCGAGTAATCGGCAAGCAGTTGTGCCTCTCTCAAATTTAACGCGCAGGTATTGATTCGAGAGAAGAGATACTGAAGTTTCTCAGCTCTGCGATTTTTTTTATACTACTTGATTACTTAATCAACTCGCTTTTCGTTTGCTAACCACTTTCTCTTCACTTTCTCGTGAGTTTATATGATTTCAGATGCAATTATTTGTATTTTGTTATATTTATTTTCGTTATATCTTATTACAGGTACTACCATAAACCAAGTATAAGGTAAAATTCCGAAAAGAGGGACAATTGGAAAATTCTGGAAAACGACATATATATTTTTCTTTTATATCTTAAGTTTTGCTATATAATTTTTCTTATTAGCCACAAATTGGGAGATTTGCAAATTTTGAAGAGAATTTATATCAAATGATTATCGATTATCGATGCAGAAAAACCTCGGCGTTAAATTGAAGGAGGCTTGATGAAAACAAAATTATAGTCGCGAATATGTAGAACGCGTACGTAAAAGGCTTTCGATGGATATATCGATTCATTCTCTTGAACACAATGTTAATAACTCTTATAAGAGCATATAAGCTGCTGACAAAGCTTCCCACGTGAAAGAATTTGACGGAATCAATAATCGCACTTTAACAACTGAACACGGCGATAAACTGTCAAATTTTAGAGAAAATTTATTATCGATATATCTCAATGTTAATTGTGGCAGATTGGGTATCACCGCGTTATTCTTCGTAATATATGTATAAGTACATTATTTTTAAGTATTATCAATATGTATAATCTAGACTCGTTACGCGAGTACGAATTTAATAAGTTTAATAAGTTTTCGATCGCTTCTGTTTTATCGTTTAAAAACGACATTATTTATGGTTAATTGACTGATATTCTTTATGAAATGTGCAATTATCTTCTATAATTTCATGGATAATTCATGATCTTATTTACGAAGTAAAAGTAAAAAGAAATTGCGCAAGCATCAAGTAAAAACAGAATAATAAGATTTTGGTGTCCAAACTGACTTTTCGCAGTCTAATTCTTCGTTCGAAAAATGTTTATCTCCGGTAAAATATATGTTCGAATAAATTGAATACTAATTAACTCAGGACAGCGTTTGCTATCGTATGGATGGCATAGCTTTGCAAATTTGACCAAGAATAGTAAGAATCAAAAATATCATGACCATTACGTTACATTGATAACCGGATATGAGAAATGACATTTCACGCATTATTTCCCTCGAAGTACTCTAAATTTGAAGGTACTGAATTATTATAAATCTTATTTATCGTTATATAAGCCCTATACTTATTAACTTTTTTTTTTTTATAGTATATCCTTAGGTGATAGTATGTCTAAGTAATAGTATATCTGGTAATTCCCAATCAGTTAACATTGAAGAGATCTTGCTAATAAATGCGTTCTTTAGTGTTGACTTGATAACAGACATGAAAAATAAAGAAAAATACAAAAAAATGAAAAATATCAGAAAAGAACAAAAAAATGTTATTAGCTTATTAGGAATATAGGTAAAGATAAGTACAGAACGACGGACTATTGTATGTTAACTTCACGCAAATAATTATCGATTTGCCTCAAGTTTTTAAATTGAATTCCGTGCATTTTAACCCGTCAGTTAGTATTATATATTCGTACCTCTGACCATACACATATGAACACACACATACCCACACACATACAAAGTGAATATGTATGCTACGTTTCTTATTCATACATGAAAACATAATTGCTAAATAAACATTTAATAAAACCCATTATATTGTTATTTACTTCATACTTGCCAAATTTACTTTCAAGTTTTACTTAATTAAACATCGAACTTATTCATTTCATTTCAATGGCGCATCAGTCCGAGTCGGACCTAGGCCTCCCCCAAACTCATGTGCTTGTGGTGCGCACGCAGGTTGTACATACACAAGCACATGGGACCTATAGTTTAACGCCGAATCCGAACGGCAAGAGGTAGAGGGGGTTTCTAGGCAAGGGATACTAGAGTCCCTTTAAAAAGAGATACTCCTGACGGGCTGCCACTCCGTCGAGGAGGAGACGAGCGATGCAATTTTATTCATTTTGGTTCTACCAGGACTGGTTCGAACCAGAGATCTTTGGTTTAGCAGACCAGTGCGCTGTCTGCTACGCCACGCTTGCTCTCTTTATTTAATTAAACATCGAACTTAAGTGATAAAAATAAAATGCGAAATATGCAAGTGCTTTTATTTAATACGAAAACTTTTGTGCACAAAATATATATAATTAAAACACACTGATTTAGTGTAACTATATAAGGAATACGATAAAATTAGTTATAAATGAGCATAGGGTATTTGTTTCATTTATAATTTTTATGTGCAAAAAATATTGCCACGTGTTGAAATTTGGCATAATATATAATTTCACATTAGTATCAATATATAAAACGACGTTATTTTGTTTATTTTGAATATTTCAATATTTGATATTTCCAAAATAAGATTAGTACAAAAGTTAAACCATTTATTTATATTTTTCGTTGATTCATAAAATCAAATTCTGGTGCAGATACTATAGAAATGAAAAGTTTTAATATATATGCTTTCATATTAACCCTCGGAGAACACACCTATTTTTTTATTCACGGAGAACACTCTGGATCAATCTGACCCTACACACACTTTGATCGTCCACCATTTTAAATTAACGCGTGCGATCAGCTTGAAAAAATTTCCAGATGTACTTGGAACATTGTTAAATCAATT